CTCTTTTGACCACAATGTCACCCAAGAAATCCAACCCTATATAGAAAGGGATGAGGTCTGCCTGTTCATGACTTAAAATTTTTCAGAAATGAGAATACCAACAAAAGAAAGGCAATTCCTTCACCTCTGTGCTAAAGAAGCCAAGATCAGTGTGTGTGCGAGATAGCCCTTGAACTCAGTGAAAGGAGTAAGGAACCATGGCTTCAGTTATCCCCTATCCGCTACTCTCTGACTCCCTTCTTTGCTTTATTTTATATAAAGGATAAGCTAGTTTTTAACTCATATGATTAAATCCAGCATCTATAAAGCAGTTAAATAAAATGCTCAGGTGAAATGAGGCCTCTGAGGTGGAATGGTAGTTAGGACTCCAACTACTGCAACAAGCCCGGCCCTGCTGGTAACTTTTGTATTCCCCACTAAAAACTGAAACAGACACACAAATTTCACCTTAATCATTTTTAATAAAACTTTCTCCACCAATGACTAAAATTACTTGCCTTTGGAGCTACTAGATGTATGTGAAAGTGAGGTGAGGTGTGGTCATTCCATCAGTAATCTCAGTTACATATTCAGGCTGGGTGAAAAGGAGAAAGTCATTTACCCTCATCACTGCCCAAAGTCTCCTGAGATGCTTGCAAAACAGATTCCAGCTGCAATTCTGGTTCCATTTCAGGACTAGGCAGAGGTCCTGCACAGACCTCAATGTGAGATGGATTAAACCCAGACTCGGGGGATGGAGGAAGATACTGATCTTTTACTTAATCCCCTCAGAGTTTTAACATGGACATATTAACTATACCTGTCCTTGAAACTAACCACTGGCTCGGCGCCTGTGGCTCAAGTGGCTAAGGCGCCAGCCACATACACCCAAGGTGGCGGGTTCGAATCCAGCCCGGGCCCGCCAAACAACAATGACGGCTGCAACCAAAATAGCTGGGCATTGTGGGCACCTGTGGTCCCAGCTACTTGGGAGGCGGAGGCAGGAGACTCGCTTGAGCCCAGGAGTTGGAGGTTGCTGTGAGCTGAGATGTCATGGCACTCTACCCAGGGGGACAGCTTGAGGCTCCTGTCTCAAAAAAAAAAAAAAAAAAAAGAAACTAACCACTGATTCTCTACTAAACTTCACAGCACTGAAAGGTCCATTCTCAGGCTCTATGATAATGCAGATTCTGGAAGAGCTAGGTCCCCACCCTAGAGTTGACATCATTCTCTGCTCTGCCTAGTAGCCCCTTCCCCCGTAAAGTAGATATACTTTATATTGGAGTCAGTGAGATGGAATAACTCATACAACTAGGGAGAGGCTTTCTCTGAGATCCCAATTCCTTTATTCATCTTCAAACTATTTTCCTGTTGGTCTGTGAATGAAATATGCCCTCCTACTTCCCCCATAACAAGCAGAAACAGCTGAAGAACAGCTTGGCTTTTTCTACCGCTTGCTCTTTCTCTCCAATGCTTGTGACAATTATGCTAAAATATTTCCACTGCAGAACCACAGACTTACCTAGCTTTAGAGTAAGAGGCTGGAGGACAAAAAATGGCAGCCCACAGACATATTTTATCTAGTCCATCTTATTTTAAATTATCTCCTTAGTTGTAACATTTTAAAATATTTAAAACATTTTAAAAATCAGGGATTTCAAATAAAAATCTGGATTTCTAGCTCCTCCTGAAAAAAATCTAAGGACCTGTCAACATTGGGCTTGTTTCTGGAATAAAACATTTAGAGCTGGGTAACTGCCCTGGCAGATAAACTCTTCAGGGGTCAGCACAATCCTATCCGGCAAGTTTTACTCATTTATGCTGTGTGGCGTCTCTAAGCATCTGAGTTTACCCTAATCTTCATGTTACACATGAAGAAAATGAGGGTCTTGGGAGGAAAAGTTAAGAGGCAAGTGAGAAAGGGATCAGTTTCAGGTATCTTTCTACTACAACACACTGCCTCTCTACTGAACTATGACTCCTATCAGCATTTCTTCCAGCAATTACTTCAATTTTCTAATTTGAATCGTTATATTTTCTACATTTCCCCCTTTATCAATTCTTTATATAACTGACTTCCTTATAGATAACAACTCTGTATCAGTGATTTCATTTAAATATTATCTCCAATCTGAAAGAAACAATAAATCAGGGATTAGATAAAACTGAAATATCAACTCTGCACACTTCAGCAGAGGACTGTAAGAGATCCTAGACAGCACTTAGCTTAACAGCTGCTGTACAGTCAAGGAAATAGGGGCCCAGAGAGGTTGCAGCTTTCCTAGGTAACAGAGCTGGTCTCTAATCTTCCAGATCAGTGTTTTTTCTACTATACCATGACACCTCTGTGCAGTCATCTAGGCTGTGGGGAACAGCTTCCTTTACACGGAAACAAAAACTACACAACTCTCTCATATATTAGACATGGCCAGCCTTGACTGCCAAAAACGAGGGTTTAGGATGAGTTATGAACAATCAATTTATAGAATTAGATTTGCAATGGAAGACAAGACTTTTTTAGAACTGGTATTTGGTGCAAAGTGTATGAATGTCACAGGACTAGATGGTCTTTGTAACACTGGTTCTTATAAAAGCTAAGCCCCACGTGAGAGAAGTTGCTATAACATCATAGCACCTTTGCTTCAACTTCAAAAGAAAAAAAGGCTATGGTAAAAAGCTTTAATAACAGACTGAATGTGATTTTATAGGCAACCAATTAGCAGATTAATGAACCATTTAACTTTCATAAAACCAATATTCCACTCAAGAAAGATGAACCCAAAGTGCATCCTCTTATACTGACCAACATAACTAAGTACAAATGAAGTCAATGGTGTATCCCATTAGCATGCTGCGTTGTTATGTCAATAAAACAAGCCCTCCCCCACCCCAAGCCCTGGCCCCCTGGCAAACATAGATAAATGATTGTGCACTGCGTGATGATACCATTAGGTGAGAACTTTGGTTCATGCAGTCGGCTGCCATAGAGGTTGCAACCAAAACCCGCAGCCCTGGCACCCAAAGTCAGTCAGCGGTGGTGGCCTGTGGCATCAGCCGTGTTCCTTCCACAACACCAGGTGAATACTGTGGTCAGGCATGCTGGTGGCAAAGACCAAGCCTGTGTCATTGTGCCCATCGAGTCCATTCAGCCAGGATGCTTCGCCTGCCAGGAAGCTTGAGCCTCTCTTTGATTTCCTGTACTCTGGCAGAGGCCAGCGACTAATCAGGCTCTCTGTCCGCAAGTCCATGATGTACAGGTAGCGGTTGTCAAACAGCAGGGCAAAGATATCTCCAAAGCCAAGCAAGGCCAAGTTTGCTATTTCAGGAGTCTTGATGACCCTACAAGGATGAGAGTTAGGGACCATGAACCAAAAGGCAACTTTGCTTCTGTTTATGTTACTATAATCTTTTCTGGAGACTTTAAAACTACTATAAACTTAAGCAAATTTAAGAGTTAAATTTTTGATAAAAAGGAAAATATGAAGACAAAAAGTCGTGCCCCATAAAAAAGGGGAGGGGAGAATTCTTCAATCTGAGAACAATGGCATGTAAGAAAAAGGTGATATCTGATGAAAGTTAATAAAAGCATAATATATCCATTTATACTACAAAGACTCTTACAGCTTATTTAGCTTAACATTTTAATTTTTAAGATGTGAAAACTGAAGCCCAGGCAAAGTAAACACTTTGGCTAAGGATTAAGCACTAGAATGCACAGTCAACATTACCACAAGGTAAAAAGACTTATTTGTCAAAGCCTGGAATATCCTGAAGTCCAGAATAAACCCGAAAGCCAAGCAACTCAAGTGCTAATCTACTCACCAGGCAGCAAACAAATAGGTTTTTCTCTAAAAACAGTAGAGGCTGAAAATATTACAAGTATCCAAAATAATTTAGAAACATTTATTATTCATAGATTAATAAAAAGATGTCTGAGAAAACTGGGAGAATTGGTAGGACAGCCCTAACCTTCTCAGGAGCAGTTTCCAAAACATCAATGACAAAAGCTAGGAAGAAACCTATTTAAACAGCAGCACAAAAAAACAAAAACTTGGCTTCTGTTGTCTGTACCCTTGATGAAGCAAAAAGTTAACAAGAAAAGGTGATGTCCTCTTTCGAGTGACTAGGAAAAACACCACAAGGGGAATACAAATAATGGTCCATGACAATAATGCTCCACAGGTCAGGCTCCTGTGGGAGAGGAGCTTAGCCTATTTTTGACAAAGATACCAACAAGCTAGGGTAGGTCCAAGAGGTCAACCAGAATGGGGAGGATCTGGACCAGGACAGCTAGAGGATATTAGCTGAGATGGGGAGGAAAAGAACTAGCAGGGACAAGGGAACTATAGATGAGTGTTATTTCCAAATAATGAAGGGTGTGTGAGAGAGAGGCCAGACATGGTAAGTTCTAGAAGACAAAGAGTTATCAAAGGCAAAGAGTTATAAAGTAGCAGATGTCAGTCTTATAAAGGGCAGGAGGAATATTTATTTCTTTGTACCACATGCCAGGCCTTGTACTGAAATTCATAATTAACATGTTCTCTCAACAATGCAATGAGATAGAGGGATTATCTATACTACACCACTGAATAAAGTCAGGCAAAGTGTAAAAGGTCTTGCCATGGTCACACAGCTAATATGATGCAGACCTTGCAAATGAGCCCTGATCTGACTCCAGAACCCAAACTCTTTCCTCTACTTCCAACTGCTCTCTGTGAGGAAGGCAGTGAACATCTCTAGTCTAGGAGCACAACTCTTTCCTGAATGAATAGATGAGTGCATAAACAAATGCATTTCAACTGAACAAATGTTTTCTAAATCTTGTACATGCTGAGTACTGGTTGGACCCCTGAAAAGAGATAAGACATTCTCTGTCCCTTAGAAATGGGAGGGCACAACACACAACTGTCAGAGTATGTGAGAACAGGCTCAGTGTAAACACTCTAATGGAGATAATGGGATATCAAGGAGTGAACAAATCATTCTACATTTTATCAGCTGGACCTGGAAGACTATTTTTTTCTCTTTCTTGAAGAGAAATGCAACTGAGCATTCCAAATTAGAGAATACTAAAGCCCTCTCTAAATTTTACAAATCCATGGGCATGCGTTTCTCTTAAAATTCTGGGATACTAAGAATATCAGTAAGATATCACTTCTATGAAACTAAGACAGTAGTTAACAAGTACTGGTTCCCTGCTTGAAAAGCAGATCAGAGAATAAACTCACCTTCCCAGATTGAACACAGAAGAAACTCCTGCTAAAGAGGTAACCACCTTAGATGGGTATGTTCAAGAACAGCATTCATCCCAAATCAATCACTGAATACTCCCTGTAGTATGAGCCTTTATAAACAGGTCTACAAGATGGAGCCTGATCCCAGGGAAAGTAGTGAGTTGGGATTAACCTCAAGTAAAGGGAAAACAGAGGTCACAATCATTGTGCTCCAGATGAGTTATAATCAATAACTCATTTCATCATTTTCCACTTGAATAGCTCATGCTCACTCAATTAACAAATAAAAAGTCAGCTAGCCACTGTTGTTACCAGGCATTTAATAGCGAACAAAGACAAAGTTCCTTACATTCAACCTACCCCAAACTGAATTTATCAGCCAAACCTGGCTTACTTTTTCACTTGCTCATTTACCCAGTTGCTCAAGCTAGGAAACATGGCAACATTCCAATTCTCCTCCTCACTCAAATCACATATTTAATCAACAAGCTCTACTGACTTTATCTCCTAAATTTTTCTCTAAAAATTTCAGTCACCCACTTATTGGGCACAATGTAAGGGCATATGGCAGACCTTCTGTGTATGAGACATAACTAGAAGAGGACTCTACCTAATAAATGCAAATACTGTAACCTAGTTGTTTGTACCCTCACATTAGCCTGAAATAAATAAATAATAAATAAAATAAAATAAAATAAAAATTTCACTCCCTACTCTCCCATCACCACAGTTCTAGCCCAGACACCATCTTTGGCCTGCAGTATCGCCAACATCTTTCTAAGGACCTCCTGCCTCTATTCTGCACCCCTTTCAATCAGGTAACATACTAACATCTCATGCTTCTACCATCTTGTTTAAACTTTAAAACTTTTTGTTAGTTCCCAATGCCCTCCCATGTCTAGCCACACCGATGCATCAAATTTTTCAAATGCACCAGGCTTCTTCGGCCTCAGGATATTTAGACAGATCCTCAGTCTGTATTCTTCATAGCACACCCACCCCAGGCACTTAGTTAAAACATATATACCCACCCTTTAGAGCTCAATCTGAACCTCTCTTCCTCATGGGAGCCTTCCTTTTCTCTGTAAACTAGGTAGGGTCTCAAAGTACCCTGTACTAGGTTCCCCTTATTCATTAAAAAATGTACATGTTATTAGCTGTTTAATGTCAGTCTTCCCTCTTGCTGATGAGTAATTTCTATGTTAAGTATTTCTGCCACTTCTGAATGCACATCAAAATGCCTGACACAAAGGCAGGTGCTCAATAAATATCTAATGAATAAAGCAGTGCTACAATGATTATAGGCAAATACAAATTCCTACAAAAGAGATCCAAAGGAATCTGGAAAAAATAACTGGCAAGTCTGGTAGGTCCCACATCATCAATGTAAAGCAGGGTAGAAACAGAAACACAGAAAACTGGGTGGCTATGGGGACAGAGCTTAGGATCTGGAAAGATGAGTTGATTTCAAAGAACGAAACACAAAACATGTTGCGGAATAGAACTCAGGTCTTGACAAGTTTCTGGCTCCTTTCACGTGGATCACTTTAGAACTGTAAATAAACATCTTTGCTATTCTGTCTGGGCCCTTGAACCTAAGTAACCTTACATACTGCACTGAGATAACCTAGCTCAAAAATCACATCATATCTCCCACTTACTGAACAACATGCCATCATTTGTGTTTTGCTTCTTTCCAGTTAGCTGTCAAGCTTAAGTAGCCCTACAGTTGCTCCTAGCAACTGATGCCATAGGATCTGTAGTAGGGTCTTAAAAGAGGCTGGTTTACTTATGTTTACAGGAAAAAAGCAGAGACAAAATAGTCCCTTTTCAAAAAAAATCAAACCTGGCATTTCCTACTAACAAACAATCTTGCAGGTTTATTAGTTACAGCTAGTGCACCCAAACACTAAAAACAAAACAGAACTTTCATGTGGGACTCTACAAGCATACATGAGAAAGACAGACGCAGGATAAAAATTAAAACTTTTAGTCTGTAGGAGACTCTAAATATTAAAACGAATGTTATATCTGTATCACACTTTAACTCTGTACCCTCCTACCCAAATTTTAATTCAAAATAAAAGCAATATTAACCTATAAAAAATGTGGATTTTTCCCCCCAAGGTGCCTATGTAAATTTTTTCTTTGAAAAATATCAAATCTTTCTTTTCTTGTTTTTTGGTGCCCTGGCTTCCTGATACCTTAAATATATGCCTTCTGAATCATCTAGCCATGGATGGTTGAAGGAATGTTGGACTAGGGTGAGACTGTGGAGTGCCAGGCAAGGCCCTTAGTCTGTCTCAGCTTCAGGTTCCCCATCTGTAAAATGAAAAGCTTACATGATGTTGTCTAGGCTGTTCCTGTCTTCTCTCAAAGCATAATCATCAATCATTTCTATGATTGATTCTGACAGCTCTGAAACCTAGCTGGTTAGATATATTACTCTGACTCTGAGAACATAAGTAGGTTTCTACCTTATGACCAGAGAGATGGGGCCCACCAAAGTTCTGTTGGCTAGTGTCATCACACCCTGTACAAGCTGACCTAAAACAGTCAAGCATAAAAACAATGAAGAGAATGTTCAATTTTCTGTACTCCCAAGACAGCACTTCCTGAACCATGCTACAGGACAATAACTGTGAATTGTTGAAGTATAGTAGGTTTAAACAAATTCAAACAGGTTATATAGTGTGTCTTAAAGTGATTAATAATAAAGATTTGCCAGGTCCTGTGCCAGGTCTTCTTCACAAGAATTTCATTTAATACTCAACTTTATAGGTGAGAAAACTGAGTCACAGAGGGGTTAAGAAACTTTCACAAGGGCTAGGGTGCTGGCCCCATATGCTGGAGTTGGCGGGTTCAAATCCAGCCCCAGCCAAAAACTGAAAAAAAAAAAAAAAAGAAACTTTCATAAAATTACACACCCCATAAGACATGGCACCAGGTCTTAAACCAAGGTTTGCTTATCGCTACAGTAAGTTCTCTTAATTACCATATGGCACTGGCTTCCATCAGCCTTGAATACACTATTAGATACTGCCAATCTCTAAGAGAAATCTATAGTATGCATTGAAAATTATTTGTCCACGGACCTCTCCTTATTTATTTCTTTGGAGGAAACCCTGCAAGTTATATTTTTCTCTAAGTACCTCTGGTCAAGAGAAGGCCACTTGATCCCTAGATTCACTGAAGTTGACCAGGCTTATAAAATGAGGCAGAATTTCAACAGACTGTGAAGAGATCTGAAAAATCTTTTCATCTAAGCATATCATTTTCCAGAAAAGCATGTTAAATCAGAAAGCAGAAGTGGCTTGTGACTTAAGAGTCTGGGGATGTTCTAGCATAATTATTTCTAAAAAAAAAAAAAAAATTAAAAAAAAATTATTTCTCACTTGCTTACTGCCTCTGAAATATTTTTCTTATGAGATGTTCAGTATATACAACCCTCTTTATAACTGAATACTTAGTAACATTAATAAACATTTAGTAAATATTTCCTAAAAGCAAGCTATGAACTGGTACATCCAAATATCTAGTCTTGTGGTTACTTTAATCACAGTAGATTTTCAAAGGTAAAGCATGAAGTCCAAGGAAAATTACCTGAGAATATCATAACTGGCAAAGTCCCACTGGTAGAGACCTAGTGCTGAACTACAGACAATATATTTGCCATCAAAATGAAGTCTCGGCTGCAAGCAAATACTTCTATCCTCAGAGACAGACAACGTCTTTAAGCACTTGCAATTGATTTCTCTTCCAATTGGCCAAATCTACAGAAAAAATTAGGAAAGATGAATATCACATCATTACAGAAAAGCTTGTCCTTACACAATGTGACCTATATTTGCTGAAGTCAGATAGAAAGTGAAGTATACTGAAAAGATCACACGTTTTATTAAGATAAAAATCAAGTACTGATTCTTCTGTGCAATCATGAGTAAAATTCTCAACCTCTCTGAACCTCACTTCCTGCAAAGAAGATAATGCCTACCACACAGGACAAACATGCCAGAAGAAAGTACAGTGAACCCCCCATAGGTGACCACTTCCTTAAGTTCACCTTACTGTGAACATGCACCACATGTACAGATCAGTACAGCAGGCAGACCTACTTCCTTATGTAGACCACCTTGACAAGTTTATTACCACTCTATTACAGTTCCTTAGGTGGTCCACTTCTTACGTGTTCTACTGTACACGAGAGTGTTCGGTGAACTCTGCAAATCATTATAACAAACGAATACTTATGCCTTCATAGTTTTGATCTAAGAATTGAGGAGGGTAGGAAATATGTATCTTACAAAAATACTAAGAATGGGTTGAAAATAAAATTGCTGATTTTTCATTTACAAATCAGGTAATTAGAAACTGCAAAGGACATAGAGTCAGTAAATCATTTCCTTTTCCAATAGGTTTAAGATGCCTTGGACCAAGATCTTCCTGTTTCAAACAGTCTCCTTTGGCCATACAGTTTTTTCTTATATACTAGCTAGTTTTTTTTTTTTGATGAGGCAAATTAATGGAGAAAAAAAATCTCACCTTGATCTCATATTTATCTGCACTTAAGAGGATAAAGTCTCCAGGGCTGTGCAAAAGAGACTTGACTTTGCACTTCTGCAAAACCACCTGCAAAATATAAACATCTATGTTATAGAAAGACCCTGTTAATGCTGTTGCTATAATGATTTTATTTTTTTAATTAAAATATGAAAATGAGCTTAAAATGTTATGCTAGAATAGCTAAATAACTCTATTACTCAGCTAATCTTTATTAAGATTTTTACTACAAGATCCTGTTATTAGTATTATCCATTATAAAAGAGTCTAATGTTAGCAGCATTAATATTTTCAGTCTAGAAGCAAACATTAGGACTGATTTTAAAAATTATAAAATGTGATAATAGAAAGTAAAAAGAACTGAAAAGACAAATGTCCATAGACACTAAAGTAGATGCAAATGATCTGCTTCCATAAACATGTGCATTATAAAAGAAAAAGCTACGGACTTGGTACCATAATCGGCCATTTACTGCCTTTGCAATCTTGGGTAGGGCCATCTAAACTCTTTGTTTCTCAGTTTTTCTCATCTTTCAAATAGGAGACAAAGCACCTATCAACTTCTCTCATATAACTGCAGTGAAATAAAATAAAACAATGTAAATAACAGCAATAACAACATAATAAAAGCTGACATTCCATTAGCACTTAGGATATCTGTAAATACTAGGCTCTCCTTATTTTTGTAATAAATCAGCATCCAGTGAGGTGGGAGGCAGGATTCACTCACTCAGAAGCCTGAATTGCACATTCAGTAGAAAAGGAGAGACCTGCTATTAAGTATCAGACCCCTTTTACTGGGTGCTGATCCAACATCTCATTTAATATTCACAGGAACATAAAGCAGATGCTAAAACTCAGATCCTGAAGGTAGGAGTAATTTGTTCAAGATATAATAGTCAGTAAATTGCCTTACAATATACAGTATGTGAACTTTTCTATTTAAAAACTTAATGTGCCCAACATATAATCACTTATTGTCTCACAAACCACTCTCCCTTTAGTGTCACCTGTTTCAAAAAAAGACATAATCATCCACCCCATCTAGAACCTACCAGTCATCTCTGATTCTTTCTTCCTCATTGTTCCCCACATTCAATCAGTGAGTCCAGGTAGCTCACCTTAAAGATGTGCTTCCTTTACAGGTGCCCTTCTCTTTCTTTACTGCCACCCATTTGTGCCCCACTCTAGTCCATTCTGCAATTTAGCAGGAAATGGTTATTTTCTTACCATTAATCACACCAGACCTTTGCTCAGAACTTGTCAACTGATTCCCAGTACACTTATGAGATCCATCATCCTGATCATGGCCTTGTAAATCGTACATGACGGTTACCCCTCTCTACCTATCTCCCCTAGCTACAGGATGACTCCACTGTCCTGCTTCCAGGTCATCAAACGTTCAAGTTCTTTCCTATCCTCAGTCCTGCGTATATACTATACCCTCTGAAACACTCTGCTACTCTTTTCACAAATGCCCCCTATTCATTCTCCATGTTTTGCCCCTTCTCAAAAAGCTTTCCGTAACTTACTTTCCTAGACTTTCTCATACAACACCATACTTTCCTTCACTGAACTTGGTGCAATCTGTAACTATACATTGATTTGCAAAATGACTGTTTAATACTATTTCTCCAGACTAACATCTATGAGGATAAAGCCTAGGTCCATTTTGCTCCCTCCTTTATATTCAGCCCCTCGCAGAACAGCATGGTTAATTTAAGAAAAGTATTTCTGCATGGCATGTCCCTTACTGATACCAGATTTGATTCTCACAACAATCTTGTTTTGAAAACTAGAAAACATCACAGTATTTTGTTAAAAACTCTGTACATTTTTCATCTTATTTTTTGTAAGCATTGTTTTTCAAAATAAAAATTTCTTTTATGATTAAAAAAAAAGCACATCTTCATTCTAAAGGGAAAAAAGCACCTACAATCCCACTAGAAATAATTATCTTCAAAATGCTGATACATAAATACATTCCGAAACTGGTATCACACTCTATATACTTTTTGTATGTAACCTGTTTATTTGCTCTCCCTACCTACTTAATATATTGTGGGCTTCCTTCCATGTCCATCAGTCATTCATTTGTTAAACTATTTACTATGGACCTACACATGCTGGTCACTGTTGTACACTATCTTGGTTGGTAGTTACGGCTATTCCACCTTTTATGACTCATCCACTACTTAGTAGGGAATGCCGACCACATTCCACCTCTCTTTTCCCAAAAGCCTGACCTCAAGAAGATTTACATCTGCCTACCTTGGTGACCCACTCCGTGTGGCCGGTGAGTGTATTCAGGCATGTCCCAGCAGATAAAGCCCATACTTTCACAGTGAAGTCTGCAGAGCCACTCACCAAGATATCCAGTTCATCATTGTAGTCCACACTAAACACTAGTGCATATAACATATACAAAGTTAAAACTTGCCTCTGGCAGTGGTCTTTATAAGAGTTCAATAACATCTATTTCCCCTAGCTGCCCAATTATGTAATTTTCCAAACAAAGTTACTGTTAAGAATAGTGCTACTGGCTCGGCGCCTGTGGCTCAAGTGGCTAAGGTGCCAGCCACATACACCTAAGGTGGCGGGTTCGAATCCCCAGCCCG